ATAATCTGAACGGCATTTGAAGACGACGTTCAGATTGTTAATTGGTTTATTTAACAACCTACAAGTCATAACTACAATTGATTATAGCACAGTTGTGGGTTTACACAATTTATACACTCTACACAATAATCTATTCACTCTACCTTCAATAGTCTTCACTTATTCACAGTACAAAACGGGAGCTATACAAGTGTCACTGTATTACACATTCACAATACCTTCTCACACTATCAGCTCAAATCACACATTTCGATCTTCCTCACGTTCACGATTCACTTGCTACAACTGAACCCGGCTGCTACAATTCAGCCGACTCCTTAAGTCAAAGTCACATTGCGACTGACGGTCAGTCAGTCAGTCAGTCTGTCTTGGTGTCGAGCCCTGACTGGGGCTCATGACCAGATTTTTTTTCTTTATATGAAAGTTACTGTCCTGTTCATTTGGGGCACCATCTCTGACGAGAAGTCGGGTCTATCATTCGTCAGTCACAGTCTGTGTTAGTAAGTCCATTGTCAGTATTTACATATATTTACAATCTAAACTTAATTCCTATTTCTATGTACAATATATACAAGGCCTCTCTCCTTAGGCAGTGCAGTTCTCTTATAAACCCTCAGCCAGACAACGGAAAACACGCCTCGTTCCCTGTTGCATAATTGCCGTGTTTACAGGTGTTGCTGGGCCACACTGCCAAGAGTTGTTTATTGCTGCATAGCAACCAGAGTGCTTCAGCTCGGCTCACTTCGGCTCTACTCGACATGGCATGGAGAAACACCACTTTCCTTCCTGTTGCGTAACCTGGCAACCGACCGTTTATCGAGTGCCTGTCTTTGTGTTAACTGGTTCCACCTCCTGTTGCCCAGCAACGGTTGGATATGTCACAATATATACGTTCATAAGTTCAGTGCTGAACACAATAATATGACCAAAGTAATGCAATGGCTTAAGGAATATACCTGTAATAACAAACTAGACGAATAAAATATGTAAACACTATTAACTAAAACTTCCTACCTAGGAAGTAGATAATAAACTTAATTACAAAATACACAGTGAATCCTGACATTGATTCTGCTCTTTGATGTTTCATGCTGAATCAGGTAACTTGATGATTGCAAGTCAATTATAAAGTAATGCCACTTCATTCTTACCCACACTTAAACAAGAAGCATGTGTGTCAGAAAAGGATTTCCCACACAATTCTTGATTGAAATATAATTACTTAAAGATACATGGTAGAATGAACTCTGACCATCTTCTGACAATGTTGTTCTAATATACTGAGAAAAAGGAAACAGGTCTGCAAAGCAAGGAGGAGATGGAGCTGAAGATCAGAATAGGTTTCTTGTACGTAATCTGGCTGTAGGTGACGATATTATCAACAAATTACTCAATGCCAGAGGTTTGAGACAAGAGCATGTGAAGGCATGGTAGTTGGAGTTGCTTGTCACCTGGGTTGCTTTCTCCAACTTATGAAACATCTATTGA